AACAGGGAATGTGGGATAATATTCCCAGTGGGAAAAACAAGGGAATAATCCTGCTATCCCATCCTGACTTGCTCCTTGAGAGGAAGGAATTCCCTGGTTATTCAGAGGTGTTTTTTTCCTTCATCCTTTTTCCAGCTCCTCAAGATAGAATTGCTTCAACAGGGAATGTGGGATAATCTTCCCAGTGGGAAAAACTTGGGATTGATCCCATTATCCCAGTCTGGCTCGCTCCTTAACGGGAGGGAATTCCCTGGTTATTCCGAGGTGGTTTTTTCCTTCATCCTTATTCCAGCTCCTCCAGCTGCTTAAGATGGAAATCCTCCGTTATTCCTTAGGGAATGCCGTGTCCCGGAGTTTAATTTGGGATAATCTTTAGGAAATAGATGCTGCCCTTTAAATACCAGAATCCAAGGAATCTTCTTAACGATCCCGCAAATCCCCCCTGAGGCCTCCGGTCCTCCTGTGGCTCCTAAAAAAAAATAGGGATAAAACCCCTGCTGGGGAGATTCGGGAATCGCAGCCGAGTTCCGGGGATTTTATTCCACTTCTTGGAGAAGTCTTGGCTTTTTTGGGAAATGCCATGACGGGAATTTAGTGATGGGGAAGGGGATGGAGCAGTTCCCATTCCCATTCCAGCTGCTGGTGGCTTCTGAAGGTGAGGAATTCCAACGTATTCGTGGATCCCGTGGGCGTGGAAAAGCTCCTGGGATGGGACGTTTTCCAGCAGAAAAGGAATCCAAGTCCGGGATCCTGGGGCTGTGGGAACATCCCATGAGGGAAGAAGGGGGATCCCACGGAGAAAAGGGTGGGGCTCGTGACTTCCAGGGGATTTTCCCGGCTTGGGAGACGCTCCAACTCCTGGAGCTCCTGCAGAACCTGATCCTGAACCTCTCCAACCCAATTCCCATCTTTTAGTGGTATTCCCACCTTTCCTTCCAATCCCAAGGCACGGAAGAGGAACTCCAACACGGGATGGGGGTTCTGAGCTCTTTCCCAACCCCTGAGGGTGCCGGTGATAATTTGGGAATGTCCCTCCTTCCCTCAGTGACTTCCAGGTGCCTGAGATCCGTTTTTCCCACCTTGGGACACGCTCCAACTCCTGGAGCTCCTCATCTTGAACATCTCCAGACACTTTTCCCAATTCCCACCATTTAGGGGTATTTCCACCTTTCCGTCCAATCCCGAGCTGGGAAAGGGAACTGGGAGCGATTCCAGGTGCCGGTGATAACCTGGGAATATCCCTCCTTCCCTCAGTGACTTCCAGGTGACTGAGATCCCGTTTTCCCACCTTGGGAGACACTCTTGGAGCTCCTGGAGCGTCTCCAGACGCTCTTCCCCATTCCCACCATTTGGGGGTATTTCCACCTTTCCCTCCAATCCTGAGCTGGGAAAGGGGACTGGGAGCGATATCCGGTGCTGGTGATAATTTGGGAATGTCCCTCCTTCCCTCAGTGACTTCCAGGTGCCTGAGATCCGTTTTTCCCACCTTGGGACACGCTCCAACTCCTGGAGCTCCTCATCTTGAACGTCTCCAGACGTTCTTCCCCATTCCCACCACTTAGGGGTATTTACCCCTTTCCCTCCAATCCCAAGCCTTGTAAAGGGACTCAGAGCGATATCCAATGCCAGGGATAATTTGGGAATGTCCCTCCTTCCCTCAGTGACTGAGATCCTGTTTTCCCACCCTGGGACACTCTCCAGCTCCTGGAGCTCCTCATCTTAAACATCTCCAGGCGCTCTTCCCAATTCCCACCATTTGTGGGCATTTCCCCCTTTCCCTCCAAACCTGAGCTGGGTAACGGAACTGGGAGCGATATCCGGTGCCAGTGATAATTTGGGAATGTCCCTCCTTCCCTCAGTGACTTCCAGGTGACCGAGATCCCATTTTCCCACCTTGGGTGATGCTCCAACTCATCTTGAACCTCTCCAGACGCTCTTCCCCATTCCCACCATTTCGGGGTATTTCCCCCTCTCCCTCCAATCCCGAGCTGCGTAACGAGACCGGGAGCGATTCCCGGCGTTCCGGCGCCGACCCAGGAATATCCTTGTTATCCCTCAGCCTCCTCTGAACGCTCAGATGTTGGCGCAGCGGCAGCGGGAGCTCTACAGCCAACAGCACCGGCAGCGGCAGCTGATGCAGCAGCGCGCCCTCCTCCTGCGCCAGCAGAGCTTCGGCAACGCCTCCGGAATTCCGGTGCCCCTCGGAGGCGCCCGGTTGCCCCAGGCGCCCCCCCAGCAGTTCCCGTACCCGGTGCCCAGCTACGGCGCCGGCGCCAGCAACCCGCCCTCCGCCGGCGCCGCCGGACCGTTCTCCGGCGCCGAGGCGGCGGCGGCGCTGGCCGGGCGCCGCGGGAGCGCCGTGGGAGCGCAGTTCGGAGCCGGGATGGTGGCGCCCGGGATGCAGCAGAACGTTTTTCAGTATTCCGGAGCAGGTGGGTGGAGCTGGGATGACGGTGGGGTGGGGAGGGAGTGGGGGAGATGTTCCCGAGGGATGCGGAGTCGTTCCGGCTTCATCCCGAGCCAGGGGGCGGGGCTCGGGGTCTCCACGTGCCAAGGAGTTGGGAGATCCCGACATCCCAAGGAGTTGGGATCTCTCGACTCCCAACAGCCCAAGCAGTTGGGATCTGCCAAAATCCCAACAAGCCCAAGGAGTTGGGATCTCCCAACAGTCCAAGGAGTTGGGATCTCCCAAAATCCCAACAAGCCCAAGGAGTTTGGAAATCCCAACAAGCCCAAGGAGTTGGGATCTCCCAAAATCCCAACAAGCCCAAGGAGTTGGGATCTCCCAAAATCCCAACAAGCCCAAGGAGTTGGGATCTCCCAAAATCCCAACAAGCCCAAGGAGTTTAGGATCTCCCAACATCCCAACAAACCCAAGGGGTTTGGAAATCCCAACTCCCAGCATCCCAAGGACGTTGGATCTCCCAGTTCCCAACAGACCAAGGGGTTGGGAATGTCCCTCATTCCCTCAGTGACTTCCAGGTGACTGAGATCCTGTTTTCCCACCTTGGGAGACACTCTTGGAGCTCCTGGAGCTCCTCATCTTGAACGTCTCCAGACGCTCTTCCCCATTCCCACCATTTCGGGGTATTTCCCCTTTCCTTCCAATCCCGAACCGGGGACAGGGAGTTTGGATCTCCCAACTCCCAGAAACCCAAGGGATTGGATCTCCCAACATCCCAACAGCCCAAGGAGTTTGGGGGTTGAGTCTCCAAAAAAACACGAAGGGACTTCGGGAAAACAATTCCACGAATTTTTCCTTGAGAACTGAACTTGGAGGCCGTTCGTTCCTCCTCTTCCCCGGGAGAGGGGAGGTGAGGCCCTGGCACAGGTTTCCCATCCTTGGAAGTGTCCAAGGCCGAGTTGGATTCCCTTGGAGCAACCTGGGATAATGGGAGGTGTCCCTGAACATGGAATGGGATGATCCTCAAGGCCCCTTCCCACCCAACCCATTCCAGGATTCTGTGATAAAGGATCCATTCAGAGGGAATTTTTATGGAATGCGGGGATGGAAAAGGCAGGAAAGGGGAAGGGAGACCCTGCCCTGAGTGCCGAGATTCCCAGGGAACCCCCTTGTTCCCTGAACTCCTTCCCAGGGAGGAGCTGGGCTGGGGCTGGATCCAATGGCAGGCTCTGGCTCCAGGCTGGGAGAGCTGGGAATGGCCAGGCTGGAGAAGGGAAGGATCCCGGGAGAGCTTGGAGCACATTCCAGAGGCTGAAGGGGCTCCAGGAGAGCTGGAGAGGGCCTGGGGCTCAGGGCCTGGAATGCCAGGCCCCAGGGAATGGATCCCAGTGGGAAAGGGGAGATTTGGGGGGGAGATTGGGAAGGGATTCCTGGCTGGGAGGGTGGGGAGGGGCTGGGCTGGAATTCCCAGAGAAGCTGTGGCTGCCCCTGGATCCCTGGGAGTGTCCCAGGCCGGGTTGGATCCCCTGGGATAGCGGGAGGTGCCGGGGTCGGAACGAGACGACCTTTGAGGTCACGAAGACCCCCCCAGAGCCACCAAACCCGCGTGTGCCGTTCCCGGTTATCGGGGGCCTTTGGGAAGCGGGGACTGGGCTCCGTTGGGAAGCGGGAGCTGTGGGAGTAGGGAATTGGGCTCCCCCCCTGAGCCCCCCTGGCTGTCCCCGCAGGGCTGGCCCAGCAGAGCGAGTCCTTCGCGCCGGCGCTGAGCCCCGGCAGCCCCCTGGTGTCCCCCCAGATCCCGCCGGCCCAGAGCCCGATGCTGCCGCCGGCGCCGCCGGCACCCGGATACCAGTCCCCCGACGTGAAGGGCTGGCAGCAAGGAGCCATGGGGAATAACAGGTAAAGAGATTCCAGCTGGGAATCCCCCCTGGAGCATGGGGGGGAGAGATGGGGGGTGTGGGCGTGGCCTCCTCCCGCCGTGACGTCACCGCCCGTATCCGTGTCCTGGTCCCGGCCTCCTCAGCTCCCGGGAATGTCCCGTGAGTCTCGAGGAAGACTTCGCCTCTTAATTAAGCCAAGTGGCTTAATTAGCTCTCCTAAAAACGACCTCAGGGAATGTGGCAGCGGAGTCCAGCCCAGAATTCCCAGGATGCTCTTCAGGACATTCCCAGCCCCAACTCGTGGGAGCGACTGGGAAGAAGAGCCGGAAGATTTGTTGGAGGGTGGGGATTTTTTTTGGCCATGGGTCAAAGTTTGGGGTTCAGATCTGCAGAAATGAGGGGGAAATTCCCAAAGTTCAGCTTTGGAATGGGAATGGTTGGTTTGGGGTCTTGGAGCCCCTTCCAGAGGCTAAAGGGGCTCCAGGAGAGCTGGAGAGGGACTGGGGATAAGGGATGCAGGGACAGGACACAGGGAATGGCTTCCCACTGCCAGAGGGCAGGGAGAGATGGGAGATTGGGAAGGGATTCCTGGCTGGGAGGGTGGGGAGGGGCTGGGTTGGAATTCCCAGAGAAGCTGTGGCTGCCCCTGGATCCCAGGGAGTGTCCAAGGAAAGGCTGGAGCAGCCTGGGATAGCGGGAGGTGTCCCTGAACATGGAATGGGATGAGCCTTAAAATCCCTTCCCACCCAGAATTCCAGGATAAAGGACACTCAGAATCCAGTCAGAGGGGTTTTTCTGGAATGTGGGGATGGAAAAGGCAGGAAAGGGGAAGGGAGACCCTGCCCTGAGTGCCGAGATTCCCAGGGAACCCCCTTGTTCCCGGAACTCCTTCCCAGGGAGGAGTTGGGCTGGGGCTGGATCCAATGGCAGGCTCTGGCTCCAGGCTGGGAGAGCTGGGAATGGCCAGGCTGGAGAAGGGAAGGATCCCGAGAGAGCTTGGAGCACATTCCAGAGCCTGAAGGGGCTCCAGGAGAGCTGGAGAGGGCCTGGGGATCAGGGCCTGGAATGCCAGGCCCCAGGGAATGGATCCCAGTGGGAAAGAGGAGATTTGGGAGGGAGATTGGGAAGGGATTCCTGGCTGGGAGGGTGGGGAGGGGCTGGGCTGGAATTCCCAGAGAAGCTGTGGCTGCCCCTGGATCCCTGGGAGTGTCCCAGGCCGGGCTGGATTCCCTGGGACAGCGGGAGGTGTCGGGACTGGAACCAGACGCCGTTTAAATCCCTTCCCTCCCGACCCCTTCCACGGCTTTTCTGACCCAAGCAACCGAATCCCTCCTGGCTGACGCTTTTCCCGGTCTCCTCCCAGCGTGTTCAGCCCGGCGGGAGCGGCTCCGGCGGCGCCGGCACAGCCGGGAATGTACAACAACATGAGCATCACCGTGTCCATGGCCGGCGGCGGCTCCGGCGTCCCCACCATCAATCCCATGGGAGGGCAGGTGCCCGGGATGAACCCCCTGCAGATGCCCGGGATGAATTCCATGTGCTCGGAGCAGGTCAGCGCCAGCACGGCCCGGGGGCGGCGAATTTGGGAATGGGAGCAGGGTCCGGAGGGGGAAGCACCAAGGTCTGGCTGCTCCAGGTGTCCCAGGATGTCCCATGGCCTTGTCCCTTATCCCAACCCTTGGAATGGGGTTTGGGATGGGTCAGTTTGTATCCATGGATCCATAGGGAGCCGGGAATTAAGGGATGGGGAGTAGGAATGGTTGGATCTGGGATGGCAGCAGATCCCACGGGTCTGTAATCCCTAATCTGGGAATGGGAGCAGATCCCAGGGGTCTGTAATCCCTAATCTGGGAATGGGAGCACATCCCAGGGGTCTGTAATCCCTAATCTGGGAATAGGATCAGATCCCAGGTGTGTTTGTTCCCTAATCGGGGAATGGGAGCAGATCCCAGGGGTCTGTAATCCCCAATCTGGGAATGGGATCAGATCCCAGGGGTCTGTAATCCCTAATCTGGGAATGGGAGAAGATCCCAGGGGTGTGTGTTCCCTAATCTGGGAATGGGAGCAGATCCCAGGGGTCTGTAACCCCTAATCTGGGAATGGGAGCAGATCCCAGGGGTCTGTAACCCCTAATCTGGGAATGGGAGAAGATCCCAGGGGTCTGTAACCCCTAATCTGGGAATGGGAGCAGATCCCAGGGGTCTGTGTTCCCTAATCTGGGAATGGGAGAAGATCCCAGGGGTCTGTAATCCCTAATCTGGGAATGGGAGCAGATCCCAGGGGTCTGTAATTCCTAATCTGGGAATGGGAGCAGATGCCAGGGGTCTGTAATCCCTAATCTGGGAATGGGAGCAGATGCCAGGGGTCTGTAATCCCTAATCTGGGAATGGGAGCAGTTCCCAGGGGTCTGTAATCCCTAATCTGGGAATGGGAGCAGATCCCAGGGGTCTGTAATCCCCAATCTGGGAATGGGAGCAGATCCCAGAGGTCTGTAATCCCTAATCTGGGAATGGGAGCAGATCCCAGGGGTGTGTGTTCCCTAATCTGGGAATGGGAGCAGATCCCAGGGGTCTGTAACCCCTAATCTGGGAATGGGAGCAGATCCCAGGTGTGTTTGTTCCCTAATCTGGGAATGGGAGCAGATCCCAGGGGTGTGTGTTCCCTAATCTGGGAATGGGAGCAGATCCCAGAGGTCTGTAATCCCTAATCTGGGAATGGGAGCAGATCCCAGGGGTCTGTAATCCCTAATCTGGGAATGGGAGCAGATCCCAGGTGTGTTTGTTCCCTAATCTGGGAATGGGAGCAGATCCCAGGGGTGTGTGTTCCCTAATCTGGGAATGGGAGCAGATCCCAGGGGTGTGTGTTCCCTAATCTGGGAATGGGATCAGATCCCAGGGGTCTGTGTTCCCTAATCTGGGAATGGGAGCAGATCCCAGGGGTCTGTAATCCCCAATCTGGGAATGGGAGCAGTTCCCAGGGGTCTGTAATCCCTAATCTGGGAATGGGAGCAGATGCCAGGGGTCTGTAATCCCTAATCTGGGAATGGGAGCAGTTCCCAGGGGTCTGTAATCCCTAATCTGGGAATGGGAGAAGATCCCAGGGGTCTGTAATCCCCAATCTGGGAATGGGAGCAGATCCCAGAGGTCTGTAATCCGTAATCTGGGAATAGGAGCAGATCCCAGGGGTGTGTGTTCCCTAATCTGGGAATGGGAGCAGATCCCAGGGGTCTGTAACCCCTAATCTGGGAATGGGAGCAGATCCCAGGGGTCTGTAATTCCTAATCTGGGAATGGGAGCAGATCCCAGGGGTGTGTGTTCCCTAATCTGGGAATGGGGTCCGTTTCCAAAGGGGAAAGCACCAGGACCACTCAGTGATCCCCCGGCCACTCCCTCCCCAAAATCCCCCCCAAACCCGGCTCCGGAGGGTGGCCAACGCCCCCTCCGGCATTCCCGAGCTCCGGCTGATCCCAGAATTCCCGTTGGCAGGTCCCGGATCCGGCGCTGAGACCAGCGGGGCTCTACTGCAACCAGCTCAACTCCAGCGAGCTGCTCAAGGCAGAGGCAGACGGGGCCCAGGTCAGTAAAGATTCCCAAAAAAATGGCTGGAGATGGTGGAGATTCCCCAAAAAAATGGCTGGAGATGGTGGAGACTCCCCAAAAAAAATGGCTGGAGATGGTGGAGACTCCCCAAAAAAAATGGCTGGAGATGGTGGAGATTCCCCAAAAAAATGGCTGGAGATGGTGGAGATTCCCAAAGAAATGGCTGGAGATGGTGGAGATTCCCCAAAAAAATGGCTGGAGGACCCCCAGGACGGTGGAGATTCCAAAAGGATGGTGGAGATTCCAAAAGGATGGTGGAGATTCCAAAAAAAAAAAAAAAAAAAAGGGCTGGAAGACCCCCCAGGATGGTGGAGATTCCCCAAAGAAATGGCTGGAGATGGTGGAGGTTCCCTAAAAAAATGGCTGGAGGGTTCCCAGGATGGTGGAGATTCCCCAAAAAAAAATGGCTGGAGATGGTGGAAATTCCAAAAAAAATGGCTGGAAGGCCACAGGATGGTGGAGATTCTCAAAAAAATGGCTGGAGATGGTGGAGATTCCCAAAAAAAGGGCTGGAGATGGTAGAAATTCCCAAAAAAATGTCTGGAGGGCCCCAGGATGGTGGAGATTCTCAAAACCAGTCCCACCAGTGTTGGGTGACACCCCTTGGGGTTGAGGCCACCACAGTCCCACCAGAGTTGGGTGACAAATAACCCTTGGGGTTGAAGCCTCCGTGGTCCCACCACAGTTGGGTGACATCTCTTGGGGTTGAAACCACCACAGTCCCACCAGTGTTGGGTGACACCCCTTGAGACTGAAGCCACCACGGTCCCACCAGTGTTGGGTGACAGCCCTTGGGGTTGAAGCCACCACAGTCCCACCACCATTGGGTGACGACCAACCCTCAGAGTTGAAGCCTCCGTGGTCCCACCACAGTTGGGTGACAGCCCTTGGGTTGAGGCCACCACAGTCCCACCAGTGTTGGGTGACACCCCTTGGGGTTGAAGCCACCACAGTCCCACCACCATTGGGTGACAATCAACCCTTGGGGTGGAAGCCACCACGGTCCAAACAGTGTTGGGTGACACCCCTTGGGGTTGAGGCCACCACAGCCCCACCAGGGGTTGAAGCCTCCACGGTCCCACCAGTGTTGAGTGACACCCCTTGAGACTGAAGCCACCACGGTCCCATGAACGTTGAGCGACAACCAACCCTTGGGGTTGAAGCCTCCATGGTCCCACCACAGTTGGGTGACACCTTTTGGGGTTGAAGCCACCACAGTCCCACGAGCATTGGGTGACACCCCTTGGGATTGAAGCCACCACGGTCCCACGAGCATTGAGTGACACCCCTTGGGATTGAAGTCACCACGGTCCCACGAGCATTGGGTGACACCCCTTGGGATTGAAGCCACCACAGTCCCACGAGCATTGGGTGACACCCCTTGGGGTTGAAGCCACCACGGTCCCACCAGTGTTGGGTGAGGACCAACCCTTGGGTTGAAGCCACCACAGTCCCACCAGGGCTGGGTGACATCTGTTGGGGTCGAGGCCACCGCGGTCCCTCCAGAGTTGGGTGACACCCCTTGGGGTTGAAGCCACCACCATCCCAGCAGTACTGGGGGGTGACCAACCCTTGGGATCAAAACCACCACCGTCCCAGCAGCACTGGGGGGTGACCAACCCTTGGGGTTGAAACCACCGCAGTCCCAGCAGCACTGGGGGATGACCAGATGACCAACCCTTGGGGTTGAGGCCACCACCATCCCAGCAGCACTGGGGGTGACCAACCCTTGGGATCAAAACCACCACCGTCCCAGCAGTACTGGGGGGTGACCAACCCTTGGGATCAAAACCACCACCGTCCCAGCAGCACTGGGGGATGACCAACCCTTGGGGTTGAGGCCACCACCGTCCCAGCAGCACTGGGGGGTGACCAGATGACCAACCCTTGGGGTTGAGGCCACCACAGTCCCAGCAGCACTGGGGGATGACCAGATGACCAACCCTTGGGGTTGAGGCCACCACAGTCCCAGCAGCACCGGGGGATGACCAGATGACCAACCCTTGGGGTTGAAGCCACCACAGTCCCAGCAGCACTGGGGGATGACCAACCCTTGGGGTTGAGGCCTCCACCGTCCCAGCAGCACTGGGGGATGACCAGATGACCAACCCTTGGGGTTGAGGTCACCACCGTCCCAGCAGCACTGGGGGATGACCAGATGACCAACCCTTGGGGTTGAGGCCACCACAGTCCCAGCAGCACTGGGGGATGACCAACCCTTGGGGTTGAGGCCACCACCGTCCCAGCAGCACTGGGGGATGACCAACCCTTGGGGTTGAGGCCACCACAGTCCCAGCAGCACTGGGGGATGACCAGATGACCAACCCTTGGGGTTGAGGCCACCACAGTCCCAGCAGCACTGGGGGATGACCAACCCTTGGGGTTGAGGCCACCGCAGCCTCACCAGGGGTTGAGGCCACCGTGGTGCCACCGGTGTTGGGTGACAACCACCCCTTGGGGTGGGTGACAACCACCCCCCGTGGCTGAGGCCACCCCGGTTGGGTGACGGCCACGGCGCTGCCACCAGGAGTGTTCCCGGGCGAGGATCGGCGATGCCAAGCCGGAGAAAGGCCGGAATGAGGGCGCCGGGCAGCGGGAGGGGGGATTCTTTCCTAGGCTGGGTCGTCACCAGAGCGAGGAAACATGGATGGTGTGGCTCCGGGGTGACATCCGTCCCTCTGGAATGTCGATCCGGATCGTCCCCGGCTCTCCCGCTGTCCCTCCCCTTCCCCATGTCCCTTGGATCCGTAGGGAACATTCCAGGACTCACCAACCCTGGAGCTTTGCCCACCGGGACCTCACCACCACCCCAGGGCCGCTCCCCTTCTCCAGGGGACTCCAAACTGAGTTTTTCCAGGCTGTTCTCCCTCAATCCCATTTTTTCCAGACAAGCACCATTCCAAATCATCCTGGTGTCCCTCCCCTTCCCTGTGGATCCGTAGGGAACATTCCAGGACTCACCAACCCTTGAGTTTTGCCACCAGGACCTCACCACCACCCCAGGGCCGCTCCCCTTCTCCAGGGGACTCCAAACTGAGTTTTTCCAGGGTGTTCTCCCTCAATCCCATTTTTTCCAGACAAGCACCATTCCAAATCATCCTGGTGTCCCTCCCCTTCCCTGTGGATCCGTAGGGAACACTCCAAGACTCACCAACCCTTGAGTTTCACCCACCAGGACCTCACCACCACCCCAGGGCCACTCCCCTTCTCCAGGGGACTCCAAACCGGGTTTTTCCAGGTTGTTCTTCCCTCAGTCCTATTTTTTCCGGACGAACATTGTTCCAAATCATCCCAGTGTCCCTCCCCTTCCCCGTGGATCCATAGGGAACACTCCAAGACTCACCAACCCTTGAGCTTTGCCCACCAGGACCTCACCACCGCCCCATGGCCGCTCCCCTTCTCCAGGGGACTCCAAACCGGGTTTTTCCAGGTTGTTCTTCCCTCAATCCCATTTTTTCCAGATGAACATTGTTCCAAATCATCCCGGTGTCCCTCCCCTTCCCTGAGTCCCACTCCAGGACTCACCAACCCTTGAGTTTCGCCCCACCAGGACCTCACCACCACCCCAGGGCCGCTCCCCTTCTCCAGGGGACTCCAAACCGGGTTTTTCCAGGTTCTTCCTCCCCAATCCCATTTTTTCCGGACGAACATTGTTCCAAATCATCCCGGTGTCCCTCCCCTTCCCTGAGTCCCACTCCAGGACTCACCAACCCTTGAGCTTTGCCCACCAGGACCTCACCACTGCCCCATGGTCGCTCCCCTTCTCCAGGGGACTCCAAACTGAGTTTTTCCAGGGTGTTCTTCCTCAATCCCATTTTTTCCAGATGAACATTGTTCCAAATCATCCCAGTGTCCCTCCCCTTCCCTGAGTCCCACTCCAGGACTCACCAACCCTTGAGTTTCACCCACCAGGACCTCACCACCACCCCAGGGCTGCTCCCCTTCTCCAGGGGACTCCAAACTGAGTTTTTCCAGGGTGTTCTCCCTCAATTCCATTTTTT